CAAGCAGCTGCCACTGAACTACATCCTCAGCCCTCTACCGCACTTTAATAATTGCCTTGGGACATTTAGAATCATGCTAATCTAAAAATATTCATAATTCTATTTCAGAACCTTCCATAAAGTATTCCATGCCTCCTAAATGTATATTTCCTTTTATAGTCAGACACTTCAATTTCCAATGCTATATACACTCATATTTACTAAGTACCTACTTGTACCTTTCTGTTTAACTATTGCTAATAAAACTAAATTCTCAGTTCACATATAATTTCTCAGAGAAATGTCTTGACTAGGTGACAAGAAAAACTAAAGGGTATAATTTCAGGCATCATTTCTATAGTATGTGAAGAGAAAAACTAGCTTTGATTTTGAGCTTACAGTCCAGAATGAGAATGGTGCACGATGGTGCACATCTGCAATAGTAGCACTGAGGAGGTTGGGGCAGGAAAATCTGAAGTTCGAGGCCAGCCTGAGCTACACAGGGAGTTAAGGCCAACCTAGGCTATGTAGTAAGACCTGTCTCAAAAGAAAGTACAAAACAACATTGTATGAACTACATTACACTCTTAAGAAACTATAATGACAGAAAGTCACATTTTTTTTTTTTTCCTCTGTTACCGGGAACCGAAGTCACGACCTTGCACTTGCCAGGCAGGCACTTTGCTGCTGAGCTAAATCCCCAGCCCCGAAAGTCTCATCTTTGGAAGAAATATTTTTCTGAAGAGGATCATTTATATGGTATTACATCTTTTAAAATAGAACTTGTAGGAGTTTGACATCAAATTTGAACACAAATACATGTTACAAAAATAATGACAATTTTCTCTCTGAATCTTATTTTAAAGCTACTAATTGAGCACTATGCTGCTGTTGCATTAATTGATGGACAAGCTGTAATTTGTTGAATTTTTTTTTTTTTTTTCTTTTTGAGACAGAGTCTTGCTGTGCAGTTCAGGCTGGCCTTGAGCTCACTTTGTAGCCCAGGCTGGTCTCAAACTCCCAATAATCCTCCTGCCTGATCCTTCCTAGTGCTGGGAATACAGGCGTGTGCCACCAGGTCCGACCCTTGTTTAATTTTAATAATGAAGGTATGAAAGATCAGCTAACAATCCACAGAGTCTAGAAAATGAAGCAATTCTACTTCAAACTAGTCAGCAACTTGTACCAGGAACAAGCAGGCCTCCTTCTAGCTAGACCACCTACTCTGCAGAGTACTTTTAGTAATGCTTCCAAAATTGCCCAGGCAGCCACACCCAGATGTGCCACCAACTGCAGGAGAGCCCCAGCGGCCACGCACAGCACCTTGTCCTAACACCTAGACCTGGCACTCTGACCTAGTGACCTCCAGCACTTCCCATGTTATGTTCTCACCATGCTGAGTTCCTGTTTAGTCCCTGCTCTCCCTGGATTACGCACATGCTGTTCTTTTTTGCCTACTTTCCTCCCTATCTCCCGCTCTGGCCAGTTAGTATTTCTACTGTTCCGATAATTTCCTCTGGTACACTTTCCTCAGCAACTCGTTTCCCCTAAGACAGAGTTAGAAACCTCTTCTAAAAGCTTCTCCAGCACCCTTTGTGCTGATTTGTATGGCAGCACTTCAGCGTTTCCTGGATAGCTCTTTTACTTGGGGATCTCTATTATGTTTTCTTATCTCCCCACCTGATGTAGAGAAAGCTTTACCCACGTGTTCAACAAATGAATGAACAGGGATTCTGCAAACAAGAAAGTAGCTTGCACTTGCTATTAGCACCAGGTTAAGCTGAGTAATTTATGTATAGAATGTCATTTGGTCTATTTCCCACTTCAACAAACATTACCATGTACTTGCTGCTCACAATAAGATTGTTGTTTTAAAAGATTAGGGTTTTTTTTTTTTTTTTTTTTTTTTGGTCTTTTTGAGAGAAGGTCTTGCTATGTAGTTCAGGCTGGCCTTGAGCTCACTTTGTAGCCCAGGCTGGTCTGGAACTCGCAACGATCCCCCTGCCACAGGCTCCGAGTGCTGGGATTAACAGGCATGCACCACCTTGTCTGGCCAATTTTGGTTTTTTAGAAGTTATAATTAAGGCAAGATTATCACCCCAAAAATACAACCTTAAACTTTAGGACACTAATGTTGAAATAGAAAAGAAAGTGTTAGTTATGTCTCAATAAACTAACAAAATTTTCTTTAATTTTCACCGAAAATGTTTGACTGTTATTCAAGAAGAAAGCTTGAGTTTATCAGTGACAGGAGTGCCTGACTTGCAGGCATCCACAGAGATGGCTAACAGAGTGCGGGGAAGGCAGACAGGCAGTCAACAAAGACATAATACATAGATGATTGAAGGGTGTGTGTCTTGCTCTATCAAATCTGGATGTGCAGTAGCGAAGATCAGCTGTTCAAGTGGGAAAAATCAATCACCTGCCAAGTTTCTGACCTGAGTCAGTTTTCAGGTCTAAAACACCCATGCAGTAAAGAAGAAGCCTGATCTATGCTCTCCAAATTTGTCCCCAAAGATCTCTGGCTATTTAATGTACTCGGTAACTGTGCACGAGGAAATGGGGAGCACTCTGGTATGTCTTGGATATCGGTTACACAGTCCATGTTGATGCAGCAGATGTGGACCATAAACATCTCCAGGGCCCCCTTACAGCTAGCGGTCAAGTGATGCGCTGAGTCCACCGGGTCAGTGTCTGGCTCCCAAATGTAGTCACACTCAGGAGTTGCCAGAAAGCACACATCGGTTCCTTGACTCAGAGGACAGAGCTATTCAGTAAGGAAAGGCAAGTGGAAGCCCCTGGACAGCCCTCTCTGTCAAAGGGAATCACCCTTGGGTGAAGGCCAGGGAATAGCACTGCCCTCAGAGTTGTCCGGGATGCAAGGCTGTGGATTTCGAACTTTTTCCCCCTGAATCATCAGTGTGGCCACTGCAAACTCTGGATGGGTTAAGGAGGACGACAGTGAATGAATGCAGACTTAACCAAGGGCTAGCTGAATCCTGCCACTGCCCATTCCGTCCCTTTGTGTTCTGTAACCACAACAGAATGGAGCGGCATTTAGCATCTCTTTGTTGATCATTGCACCAGGCCCTTTACCTCTTGTAGACTTTACTCATAATCACTCTGACCAAAGAAAAAATAATAGAAATGCCAAGAGCCGGGCGTGGGCCCACGCCTGTAATCCCAGCACTTGGCAGGCTGAGACAGGAGGATCCTTGTGAGTTCCAGACCAGCCCGGGCTACAAAGTGAGCTCAAGGCCAGCCTGAACTGCATAGCGAGACCCTGTCCAAAAAGACAAAACAAAACAAAACAAAACCAAATAGAAATGCCAAAACACAGATTAGCAACAAAGAAAAACCTGTCATTTTACCACAAAACAGGAAAGAAAGGGAGGCAAAGAGGGAAGAAGGAAGAAAAGAGTAAGAAAGGGAGACAGGAGAGGGAGAGAAGAGTACCTTCCTTGCACTGTTTGAGAGTGCTCAGCTGTCACTATCAATAGACTTGTCCCTGCAGACCACGTGGGAAGACAGTCTTCCGAGGGTGCTGTTTATAAACAGACTAGGTGTAAATCCCGGCTCCGGATTTGAGAAGTTGGGTTGTTCAAGTCTTGCTTTAGACTGCCATGAAATGAAAGGCTAATTTCATTTATCAGAGCAAATAAGAATAATTAACACTCCTCCCCTCAAAACCAACAGAAGACATGAAAGCCTAAAAGTTTTCCAGGCAGGTTTTATTCATCTTCTGAGGAGCACTGTCTTCTCAGAATTCAGTCAGAAGCTGCACAGTATCTGCCCCAAAGCTAAGACTTGTTTTGCGGGGACAGACCCCGAGCTGCGCCTTTATAGATTCCCAAAGCATTAATCTGGGACTCAGAATGGGCCACGCATTGGAGGTGCTATACCTCCTTCCCAGAGACTATTCTGCTGGGTATCCAGAGCTGTGCTTACTTGGTTATCCACAGCGTCACCCTGCTTCAAATGAGGACAGTAATAGTAGGGCCAGTGGGGGGACTTCCCCTGAGTGAATGGTGTTCAGGAGAAGTTTAGCAAATG